TACATCCACTGATGCGAAAGTAATGTCAGGGAAAGAGCACTGTAATACATTATTAGCCAACCTACAGATTTATTATAAGTATAGATAGTTAGGAGATAGATTTCGTTCGCCGTAACTTAACGTCGAGTATAGAGAGAAATATGTTTCTTTTTTTTTGGCTTCCCTCTGATAGCTTTTTATCGCAAGTGTAAGCATAACTCAATTAACCAATAATTTAAAAAATAAATCTTTCAAGGAAAAGAGAGAAAGATTAATGTTAAGTTCAAAGAATATTTTATATATAAATGGTGTCTCATACATTGCTCGATAGATGGCGCGCTATGAATCAGTGATAGTATGAGACAATCTTCTTCTATCTAAATATATAAAACTCAAAGGTGACTGATATAGTGATCTATCAACGCACTGCCCAAACCACTGGACGGATCGGACTGAAATTTGTTAGATGTTATGACGCAGGCATCCGCTAAGAAAGGATTTTAATTAATTTTACCCCCAAGAGGATAAAAAAGGGATGAAATTTTGTATAAAGCTCTCTCAGTTTTAAGCCAGTCGAGACCTTTCATGCATAAAGCTACTATAACGCCTATGTTATGCGTGCCTATGGTACACGAGATGCCTACATCACGTTTTTTTTTTGTCATATGTCTTCTCCCGCCCAGAGTAAAGCGAGAGAGAGTGTCAGACTCTGACTGACTAAAACCCCCCGTTCCTTCACCTGCTCTGGGCCGAGGCCCCGGGGACTCATTGCGCTTAACCCGCAAACGCTGCTGAACATCAGCCCTATAGGGCCCGGTGACCCCGTCTGTGGTGGTCTATTGACTTTTTGAGGCGCGCGCGGAACGCTAGGCGCCGTACGCTCGGGTCTGGTTCTGTTTGGGCGGCGAGCTGCCCTTACTCGCCGTGCGCAGACCCGCGCTTACGGTGGCCGGAGATCATTTCTAGATCTCCGACGCTCGGAATGTCGCCTACTGCGGTGACTGGGGCGGGAGGAGGATAGTTCCCTCACGCGCTCCGCTTCCTCCTTTGCGAGCATCACTGCTTCGTAGAAAGAGGAGACGGTTCCTCTCACTACGAACCATGGCCTCGACTAAGGCCGGGCGCGAGAGGTCTCCGCCGCCGATCACTTTCCCGAGGACACGGCGCGGCGGTGTTCAGCCCAGGCAGGGCACATCGCTACCGTATGCTCCACCGTATCCTCTAGGTGGTCCTCGGTCCGACGACACTCGGGCGTTTCCTTCCGCTGGATCCGAAACAGGAACCTACCGAAGCTGCCGTGCTCAGTAAGCACCTGCGTCAGGCAGAAGGTGAGGACGCCGTGGCATCTCTCAAGCCACTCATCAAAGAGGAGTCTTACTGAAGCTATAACAGCGTGCCCGGACCTCGGTTGCGACAGTCGTTGCTCCACAGACCACTCAGCCATGAGATCTCGCTGGAGCTCATTCCGCGACGCACTAATTTGGCGCAGTAGAAGACCCTCGCCCCGGTGACGCGCGTCTGCGCGCAAACTGTATACGCGCGCGGGCGCATTCACTTGCGGTGATCCGGCAAGCAGGTTCGCCGCCTCCCCGGAGATCGTGCGATATCCGCTGATTATCCGGATAGACCTCGTGGACGCGACCAGCGTACGAGCTGGCCGCCGCCTCAAGTCCGGAGTCTACACAGGGGCCCCGTAGAGGGCCATGGATCGCACGATTCTTATAAACAACCTCCAGCAGGTGGCGTTTGGTCCCCCCAGGTTGGGAAGGAGCCGCTTGAGCGCGGCCCCAGTCCGTTCCAACCTAGGAGCCGCATAAACTACACCTAATTAATCATATTATTTCGCGAGCGAAACCGCGTAGAACAGTACACAGAGGCGGTTTTATTAATTTACCCCATCTTAGTGTATTATTACGTCAGCAGGTTACCTAGTAATATTGCTAGGTAAGATTTATCAAATTAAGAATAACAGTTATTGTTTTACTTGCCATCGACTTCAAAATGATTAAATAAACATTAGGAATTAGGAACTTTCCATTTAACTAAATGAAAACGTAGCACATTGGACGAAGTAAATTTAGTTCTTGCTTTTTAGTTCACTGTTTTCAGGTTTTCATTTTTGTTACAAATTATTTTGCGAGTTTGCTTATGATTAGTCGTTTGTATTGATAACAAATGCTGTAAATGTTCAGACCGCTTGCATCAACGTTCTGATACAACCAGAACAGAGGTTCTCATACAAGGTTTATTCCGTGTACTTTTTTGTTACTGTTTGTTTAGGTACTAACCAGGTAGCTCACATAGCAAGTTGTTGCAATGTTGCCCTCTAGCGGAGGACCATGGACTCATGTACGCGTGACTAGGAGAGTGGAAAGTGATAGACTTTATTGTTTGGGTCAACCACGAGCTTCATATTGAATGAATAAATAAGATATGAGAGTCAAACTTACGTCATCAAATTCACTTTATGAACAAGAGCAGTTACTTCCCGCTAACATATTTATTTATTAAAATCAAATGTTCACAGCTTTATGTAAGTATTCAAAACTAATTGCTATTCTAAAATTACAGGCGTCGACAATACATGGCCGCTTTAGCTAAAGCCAGAGCTAGAGATTGATAAAAATTTACCAGAGTTACTATATCGTTTAATACTATGTATTAATTATACAGGGTGTAAGGGACAGCCTTCCGCAAACTGATAGGGTGGATTCAGTATATCGTCTAAAGTTGACTGGTACATGAAATTATTTCAGGAACGTTATGGGAATCCAATTAAACCGATTTGTTTCATTACCTTACACGCAATGTATCGCTACCACCGCAAACGCACGCAGCGAACGGCAGCGCTTTTAGTATTATTACTTTACAAACACAACGGAAAAACTTTACGAACGGGACAAACGGTCGCGCTCGCGCCACGTTTTAATAACAATAACTAATTATTTACAAGATAGCCGCATTACTTACAAAAGACAATTTAATAATCGCGCTCGCGCCACGTTTTAATAACAATAAATTATTATTTAAAAGATAGCCGCATTACTAACAAAAGAAAATCTAACAATCATAACATGGTAACTGATAAATGATAAAAAAAGAAAATGCGTAGGTACCTTAGAATCGCTCCGGTTTCCGGCTCTGGAAAGCATTTGTGATGCGGTCTCTCGCATTTCGTACTCACTTGCACACGCACTCACAAACACTTTTTCTTTTACGTACAAAAAGGGGTCCAAATGGGTTACGTCTGGGGATCGTGCTGGCCACGGTTGCGGTCCAAACCTACCTAAACTACGTTTAAATAGGAAAGCACTGGTAAGTGGTAGCGTCTCGTTACGTTAGCGAACCAATTCCAAAATCCACGTAGGTATTGGTCTTTCGGCGCCTTTTTGTCTGGGAACAATGGGCTGGTTTTCTAGCAAGCGTTGATAGTCACCAGTAATTATCCTGGAGTCTGATGGATGCCGACGGTCAGGATACCTACACTACTACAACACATTATCATCTCCCCATAATCACGCGCGCAAAACGTACCTAGGTAGTAATTTCGCACAATTTCTACAACAAAACTTCCACTACACTTCACACACTACATAACTAATAAAACTTAACAACACTACTTATAACAAAACTTTTAAGCCGAATGCGCGAGCGATCCGTACCAACACACGCTCGCGGAACATAAACAGTAACATCGCAGCAAGGCACAATGGCGACTGCATGTGATGAGACACACACAAACATAAATCTGTTGTTGCCAATTACACGAAAATTAGGTACAAAATTTCGGGGTAAAAAATTAAAAATTATGCATGGTCGTAATTTATCATTCTGTTATTTTTTGTAGAGAAATGAATTGATTAAATCAATTTAATTCTAATTTCATTGTTTAGTTAATTTAGAATAATAAAAGTGCAGTGTGATAGAAAGCTGTGCTTCCATTCCAGGGAGATTGTGTTTAATTTCTGGCTCGACTATCAATTCATGGCTATTGTGAAGCCATGTAAATCTGTAAGTAGTTTAAAAACTAGCCTGTACAGTGCAAGCACGCACAAATTTGACATCACTGCGTCAGCACTTTACTAGCTACGCGCGCTCTATACTTTAGTACACAATTATCACTCAATCGCGTGCACTCATTATCATTCAATTAAATTATATTTTTACGTACTCTTTGCGTATTAATCAATTATCATCATTAAAAGGTGTAAAGACCCTACAAGCCAGTAATCGCTTAAAAAGAACAATCAATTAATAAATTAGGTAGTATTTGTAAATGCTTTAAAATTAAAACTAGACTAATCTTTATTTATTTTTTATTCAATTTATGTGCGCGACAAGATTTTCATTAATTGATTAATGAAAATCTCATCAATGTGATTATGAATGCAAAGGAGTTCTCAAGTTTTAGATAAATTTCGATAGTTCTAACATTTTCGTTTACAAAGGTAGAAAGGTAGAAGAGGTAACAAAAGTTAAAAGTTGGCAACACTGGTTCAATCGACAGAAAGGGACGCAGCTATTCTGTACGTTGGACGGGATCGTAGGTATACCTACGGCGGCGCGGCGATCGGCGCGGTGGGGCGCCGAGCCGCTGCGCCGTGACCGCGGTGCGGTGAGTTCAAACGACTCGCGCTAGGTAGAAATTGAACAGCTGATTTCATGCGTAGTTCTTTAGAGAATTCACACAACCATTGCGTATTTTTTTGTTTTAGCTGTGTTATTTACATTAATGTTATTCTTCATACATAGAATGTAATTATACATTGAAATAGAGGTGTAGGAACTGAAAAAACGAAAAAAAAATTGAAAATTTTCCTGAAAGAATTTTCACTGGAATATGATTCAGAATAAGGAGCTGAATGCACCCTGTTAATTTGTGGAGGGCTGTCCCTTACACCCTGTATATAATGCTATTTATTGATAATTTATTTACTATTTTACTTATATTATTTTACAGACATACATTCTTAACATACACCCGTGAAGACAAAATATAATACCTATTATAATATGTATTTACCTTTAAAATTATTAGTTTGTTTAGTAACAGTTAATATTTGTGTCTTCAATGACAAGGCACGAATGGTGCCGCTGTGGTCACGTATCGGTGAATTGATGAAGTGGCGGGACTAGAGGCGCAGTCATCGCGAGGCTCGCGCCACACTCTCGATCTGCGGGCGGTCGAGGCGCAGGGCGGCGCGGCCCTCCGACACGCGCAGGTCGCGGGCGCCCAGCCGGGAGTAGAAGGCCAGCGCCGGCGCGTTGTCCTCCAGCACGTGCCAGTCCACGCGGTGCACGCCTTCCTGCAGCGCCATCTGCAACGAGAGCGAGCTCAGCATCCCGCGGCCGGCAGCGACGGGCGACGGTCGGCGCGGCTCGTACCCGGCACAGCTCGCGCAGCAGGGACAGGCCGACGCCGCGGCGGCGCGCGCCGGGCACCACGTACAGGTCCTCCACGTAGAAGGCGCGCCGCGTCCACGACGAGTAGGCGCGGTTGCACATTGCGTGGCCCACCACCTGGCCGCCGCACTCCGCTATCAGCCCGAAGAACCACGCTGGGCTGGCGTCAAACCCGTCCTCGATCAAATCTACAACATCATCAGTTCAGAAACAGCACGTAATTCCCAGTCGTCGTCTGTTTCTAAATATCAACTTGCGGTCGCCCGCGGTTCCGCCCGCGTGGATGTCGAGTACCGCTCCAAAATGTTTCTCTATAATCAACATTTGACGTTAAATTATATTCAGGTAACAAAAAATATCAGGTAATAAATTATATTCAGGTTAATATACTGATGGGATATTTTTTTGTTGAGACACCGTTCTTCATGCCTGGTGCGGCTAAATATTGTTCTCCGCAGGGTCCATGTACCGTATTTTTAGTTATAAGTAATGTCGTGTGGTACCGTATCAATTTATGGCCGGGTAGCTCCGCCATTATGACACTATCAATCTCATCTGGTTGTATTTTAGTGAACAACAAATGACAATGAGGTAAACCGCGCTTTTGCCACTCCACGCTTGCCATATAACATTTTCTTCGATAAATTATTTGACGAATTTCTTCATCTTTAAATGTGGGAGAGCTAAGCTTCGGCGCGAATGGGTCAGCTCGACCGGAGTGACAAATACTAAAAATAGTGTGAATTACCTACTGCACTGCAAAACTAGCAAGGTCGAAATAGACATAGCTAGTGATTAAAAATATATCAATCAAAATAAACTACAAGTTTTCATAAATCCCATGAAGACTATTAATGTTATTCAAGGTTAGAAAGGATTTATTTTTGTATTGTGGACCATGAGCAGTGCTGCCAACAAGATCTCTATAAAAACCAAACTAGTTGGCCGGACTATAGCATCTTGCCCCAAGTCGATGGGCCCGACTCAAAAGCATTCGTAGATGGCGCTATAATTGTATTCATCGTAATTTTGTTGTTTTTGTAAAATTGCTAACAAAGTTTCTCATAATGTATTCAATCCCTGGCAAAATATACCTAACGCAATCCGCGTCGTCCTAAAGTTGAGTGTGTCACTTGTTTGTGGATGGAGTGCAAAATGACAGGTTACTGTAACTTCAACCAATTTTGTCGAATAATTTAGCCAGGTGTTTTTATTTTTCGTATTTTAGATTAGAATCTTACGATTACAATTTCTTATCAAGTTTCAACAGCAGGCGATGTGGACGTGAAGATAACCCCAGTCTTTGGTGTAAGGTAGGTACAAGACAATTATTACGTCACACAAAGTTAACTACAATGAAAAACCGAGTTTTAAAGATGCTTTGATCCAAACTTGTTGTTGTAGTCCGGTGGATAAACCTGTTACACAATTACGACTAAGTAGAGCTATCATTCAATGTGAGGATCTAAGGATTAGCTATACCATCATGCCGGAAGAAGTTATCCCTTCGTTCCCCAGTTAACATTACAACACTGCCTACGTGTTTGTAAAAATGACGGCTTTGAAGAAAGTAAAAAGCATATCTAATCTATATTATAACATAAGAAAATATTCCTTCATATCCCTTAATAACAACAACTTAGATTCTGTGATTTACTGTAAAGCTATTAGTCTTAATATGGGGGTTTTCAATAAAAAATATTTTTTTAGAACAATCCCCAACTTTTCACACAAACTTACAGGTTTGGCTGTCATACATAAGAACATTGCCAACAGAGGCTGCAGAGTGCACTCACCGGCGACGGAGAGCTCTGGCCCATGCGGCATGCCCTCGAACTCCGCCAGCTCCTGCAACACGCCACGTACTCCGAGATTTATCACATCGATGTAAGGGCATCTCGTCAGGCGGGGAACAATGCTTCATCCGGCTACGCGATACCTTGGCTGGATGACGATGAGGTAACTTACTTGCTTAAAGGCAGGTACCAAACATTTTTCGTTCTATTTTATGACAAAATGGCCGAATTTCAAAATTATAAGTTGGTAATAGATATTTTGTGTTTATCTTAAAATTTTGAAACAATTTTTTTTTTTTTGGTAACAGGCAATAGGAGGATTCAAATTTCACTTTTAATTATTAAAGTTCGATGTGGAATAGTATAAGAATAGAACTGTGTAAGCAATAATGATAAAGTAAGTTTACAGAATAAATGTATATTTTGAACCCATCAACATGGCTCCGGAATTAATTTAGATAGAAGTGTGTATCAGTTCAGTAAAAACTCGAGGTTGTACACCTTGTTCTAGTATAATAGTTGTCTAGATATGTACATGTATATGTAATTACCGCAAATACATTTTCAAATGTAGAAAAATTTAAATTCCGCGCCTTAAAACTAACACTTAAAAAATGTACTTTTTATAGTTCATAATTTCATATAGCTGGCTACACTAAGTACCACCTGTTTGTACTCGAGTGATTCCCGTGCGCGCAACCAAAAACATGGCTAGCAGAGTATGGAGCAGTGTGTGCGCCCACCTGTATCATCTGAAGCACACGCGGCATGTCGTCGCGCGTGGCCAGCCGCACCACGACCGGCTCCGTGTCCCCGCCGCCGCCGCCTCCGCTCTGCGACGCTGCCGACATGGCGACCGCTTCGCACCGCTGCGTGCCTCACACTGGCCTGGCTGTCAATTGTCAATGTCACACACTTACAGTACAATCCTCTAAAATTTGACATTAGTATCCACAAGTGTCGCCTCACTATTTTACCCATAATTATAAAACTCAATAAGTATTAAATTAAGTGGGCATGTACTGAACGTAAACACAATAAAATTAGGAAATTGAAATCAATCATACGACAACGGCTTGACCGATGTGGCTAATTCTGTTTTTAACTAGTTAGGTATATTTGTGAAATATTTCGCAGTATTATTGTTTTTAAGTAAAACTAAGGTTTGGAATTAATTTTTTTTAAGACCCGTCGTTGCTAGTGCGAAACGGGGTAGATAGTTTTTTTTTTTCAGTCATAAGAAAATTGTGAAGTTTCGTTACACGCGCGACATCTATTTGCTGAAGACCGTACTAGTTTGGCTATCAAGCAACATTTCTGTCAGTGTTCAAAAGATGGCGCTGTAAGCAGTTCTCCAAAGTAGTGTTTACTCCAATACTTTAGCGAAATGAATTGCTTCCATTTAACGTATTTAGAAGTTACACCTTTTATCACTTTGGAAATGATCATTTCAAATCTAATGATATCAAAAAAGCATCAGAAGACCTAACCATAGATATACCTCATATGAGTCCTCCTCGGTATGAGTTTTATATTATAGCGATAAGACCCTTTTTTGAGGTTGTGGTGTGCCCTGCTTGAGCTGAGCACCGAAGGCTCATTGGCGGTATCCTCACTTAGTGATCGGCGATATCTCGCTTCGTCCAGTCTTAATGGAGCGCAATGTCACGGAGCTGAAGGAACTGGGAAGCCGTCTTTCAGCGAAGCAGTGATGCTCGGAAAGAAGTAGGCGGAGCATGTGAGGAAAATATCCTCCAATACACCCCAACAGGCGCAGTAGGAGAATCTCCGAGCGTGAGGGATCACGCGACGATCTCCGGCCACCGTAAGGGCGGGTATGCAGACGTCCGTCCGGAACGGGATGGTTTTTTTTAAAAAAAGTCAAAAAAGTCAAAAATCATTTATTTCAATTAGACCACAGTAGGCACTTTTGAACGTCAAGTTTTAGTCTGACACTCGCCCCACCCAGGGCGGAAGAACTCTCTTCCGACCCCCCTAGGTAGGTACGGGGACGGAGGACTCCGTCATCCCGTTGAATAGGACCCGAGACGGTGACGGTGTGTCCGCGCGCGCCTAGAGGCGAGTCACGGGGGAGATTCACACCTCGCTTCCCTGTGCATCTTGAGGTGGGCCTATGGAGACAGGACATCACGAGTGGGGCTGCGGATGAATTTTGATTCCCGCGTCCTCACGCCCACGTGAGAGACGGGACAACAAGGTGGTTTTTAGTCAGTAAAAGTCTGACAGTCCCCTTCGTCTCCCCAGGCGAAGGGGCTCCATGAGGATTTTCCACCTTGAGGCAAAAAAAAAGGAAACTACCCAATTACATGTAAAAAGTTGAAAGTGTCAATCTGTCAGTCCTCTAGTGAAGCTGTGTTCTGTCGAAGTGCTCTATCGAAATTGCCGATTCATGTGAAAAAAAAAATTTACAAAAAAAACCGCAAGCAATAAAAGTTCCTACACTAAAAAGTAAATAATAAAAATTTGAACTGCTGTAAAGAAATTTAATTTATACGTAAACTTATTTGTCATTAATATTTTGCAATTATTCAAAATTTATTACTTATTTTTGGAGTCGGTGCCAGCCCAGGCAAGGAAATACAAATGGGCAACAATCCCTTGAAAAACTACCTCTTACTTAATTTTACACTTAATTTCTTTTCTTTATCTTACATTTCTTTTGAAAAAGTTACCAATGTCATTTAAGTAGGAATAAATATCATAGGTGCATTGTTACAGTGTAATCGTTTTGATCTCGAGGAGAGATGATATGATGCATGAAATACTTATGATCCTTATATTTAAAATAAAAAATAATCTTATCATAAATTCATTATAGTTCTCGCAAAATAACAAAAAACTAGATATTTTCATCAACAGGCAGATAAAGTTCAAAGATACCAACGCTATGCAATCTATTTTAGTATGATTAAATACATTCGTACATAGAAAAAAGACCGATGCAATTATTGTTTTGTATCAATTGTAACCCATTAAATGAAGAAAACTATTTTGTTATTACTAAGAACATTCATATATAGACAAGTTGGTAAAAATACAAAAGACCACCGCTATTGTAAATATACATTTGACTTATTCAATGTATGAATCTTTTTTAAGTATTATCTACATATGTGCACACAAAAGAGACACAATTATTGTTTTGTACGACGCAATTATTGTTTTGTAACCCATTTAAAACGACTGTTTTGTTAAAAATGCCAATGAATTGTCTTAGCCTATTACCAGGAAAACGATAAGAAAACTATGACTCATTTCACCACTAATGTGTAAACGCAGTCCACGTGGAAAAATGCAAAATAGCCAATACTAGGCCAAACTCCGCCCCCAAAGGTGTGCGGTCGCCGCTCTAGAACCTTTCGGGCCCATCGGCCATCTGTTCTACGAGCAATGTGTCCTGCCCACTGTCGCTTAAGTTTGGCATTTCTTCGGGATATGTCGGTGACTCTGGTTCTTCTGCGGATTTCTTCATTTCTGATTCGAACACGCAAGGAAACTCCGAGCATATCCCTTTCCATTGCTCTTGACAGCTCTAGTAAGCTTAAACAATACTAGGATACATTATTCTATTTTGAAGTTCCCATGCCAACCTTCCACCTTCCAGCTACATCATCACATCAGTTCAATAGTACCCTACAGCCAAAGTGCATCTTATAACAATTCTAACAAGCCCAAACACGGCTAGGATATATTAATTAGGTACGCAGTTCCAGTGCCTACCTTCCAGCTCCATCATCATCAGTAGATCAGTTCGTCATTTCCAACATAATTATCTAAGATCATTGGTTTATAGTGCATTTTCATAGTTGCTTAACCACCTTGATTGTGATATCTATGCGAGTGTCAAGTTTCATCACCCATTTCTGATCTTCTTTACCAGTTCCACCTCATCAAATATTACTTTTTGACTGTAAATGCTTGAGTGCTCTATGAAAATATTAAAATTACTATATAGTTGCCTATAATATTTGAGGAGTTCCCTCGATTTCTCATGGATCCCATCATCAAAACTCGATTTTGAAAAGAATGGGACCAATCTGGAAGCATATCCTTTCAATCATAAAAAAAACTATTTTTCAATCAGTTTGCCTGTTTGTATTAAATTATTCGACCAGCCTCCAAGTATTTTTATCTCTATAATATTTACTATTTTCATATTTTATTTGTTTGTTCATATTTGTTTGTGGTATGCTTGTCTACGTAAGTTTTCCATTTACAATTTAAAATTGGGTTATTTAATTTTAGTCTCGCCTGGGATTCTGTTGTACAGACCTATCATTGAATTCGAATTCCATGAAAGACGTGTGTACTTTTGCTAATTCAAGTGACGGCTGATATGTGTGTGTAATATAACGATGTCTCATTTGATAGTTATGTTTGTCAGACAATTTAACAAACCGCAGAAGGATTTTCCTTTCGTTCAGAATGTTTTCATAAATGACGATATGATGATATTAAATTATTGTGATTTCATAGTACACAATAATTATGAATGAGTTTAAACAGATCATTGTTGTGTTGTTATACGGAGCTATGGAGGTACGATTTCAAAGATAGGGTTAATGTTAGGGTTGCCAACTATACTGTTAAAAAGACAGTATTATTCTGTTTTTCATTACATTATACTTTTTACTGTTGAACAAAAATAAAGTATCCAAATTCCAAAATACTATTTTCAGCATCAACATAAAGTACTATAAATGTCATTATAACATTTAGGCGCTCACATAATATTGCAAACTTAGAACTACGCTCATTCACTCAGTCTCAGTGCAGCGCAAGGCAACTACAAATGAATCACAATAACAGCTTCTGAAGTAACAGTTTCTGAACAAATCTGTAAATGACAATGTAAAATATTCAAGACAGGAGTGACAGGACTGATTTTTCCCGCCCAGGGTGAGAGACAGAGGTGAGTGCCAGACTCTTACTGACTAAAAACCTTCTCCTGCTCTGTGCCGAGGCCGCGGTGCCTTACTGCACTTGCCCCGCAACCTTACATTGACTTAATGTTGACATGACGAGTTGTCGACACGGGTGAATGTCGTGGTGCCTGGGCAATCGGCTATCGTGCATCGTGTCGCTTATTCGATTCCTGCGTAGAACAACTCTTTGTGTGATGTGCGCAAATCGTTTGTGCGCTGGGTCTGATGTGTATGTGGAGATGGAGTGTGGAGCCCTCTCTGCAGTTGGTCGACTACAGTCATTGCCAAGAAATTAGTCTCATTTACAAAGTCCAGTATCTCATTATATTATAGGTACATTTGACTAGATAAATCCAATACATTTTGTTTTTTTAATGTTAGGCAGGTATACCTACTTCTAAGTTGTTCTTATTTCATGGGGATATCATCGATATTAATAATTTCCTTGCGATTTGTTTAATACTTTCTCTTCTTTACTTCTCTTACACTATGAGGTATAGGTAACTGAACAAGCGCTGGAGCGATTTGCCTGAAAACTGGTAGGGAGGTAGGTAGCGTACAACCAGGAAATTAATATAATTAGGATGCTTACGCTAACCGAAATTAACCTTACTCCTTCCCTAACATATGTACTTATATATATAATGTCGCTACCCCCACAGAATTATATCGTAATGTGATGTGAATTTTATAATAACCATAACCCTAATATTCCGTTACCGAGTAATTGTACCTATTTACGCGAATAACATCGCTACAAGCGGTTACGGGTAGCGCTGTAGGATTTTTAATTAACTTTATTTTTTTACTCTGATTGTTTTGACCGCTAGATGACGCCACATTAGATTTTGTGATACCCGATATAGCCTATAACCAGTGGACAATTAAGACGTTTCTAATGATATGTCATATGTCGAATTCTGATAAGTAGTTTAGAAGTTCGGAACAGATCAATTTTATTTTTATTTTTTTGTGAGGGAAAATCATCAATTGACTTTTCCCGCCCAGGGGCGGGAGGGAGGGAATGTCAGACTCTTACTGACTAAAAACCCCCCAGTTTTAGGTCATGAGGCGCGCGTGGCACGGGCGGCGAGCTGCCCTTATTCGCCGACCGCAGACCCGCACTTACGGTGACCGGAGATGGTCCCTTGATCCCCGACGCCCGTAGTGTCGCCTGTTGCGGCGGCTGGGGCGTGAGGAGGAGGATTGCTCCCTCATGCGGGCCGCCTCCTATACATACATATATATACATAGCCTGTCAAAACCCCATAACCCTCCTTTTGCTTTGACGTAGTCGGGTAAAAAGAATAGCAATTACTTTTATTATTGCGGTGGCAATATCTCCACATAACATGTGTACACACTACACAAATCTAGTGAGTCTATTTAGAATTTAAACCAGTAATAATCATTACCAACTTCAAAAAAAGGAGGAGGTACTGTGTTCGGCTGTTTTTTATTTTGTATGTTCACCGATTACTTCGCCATTTATGAACCGATTTCCAAAATTCTTGTTTTGTTTGAAAGGTTATACTCCCGAGAGGATCCCATTTCCATGAGGTCAGGATCTGATGATGAAAACCTAGAGAAACCGAGGGGAACTTTCAAAAATTGTAGGGGCGAGTAGTGCTTTTGCATGTTGTTTTAGTAGGCTTATTATAACGTTACAACTTGCCGATGGTCGAACTCGACCTGATGATGGATCCAGAACACAGTCGAGGAATCTCCTTGATTATTTGGAGTAGTTACCTTGTGTTTGGGCTTGAATGATTCGTGTTGGTGAGCACTTTTCACTTAGATTGATCGTGACTGTCATTAGGGGTCTGATGATGAGAACGATGGACAGCTCAGGGAACTCCTGAACGGTTCACAGTAACTACCTCGTGTTTGGACTTAATTCATTTATATCGATGAAAACTTCGCACCTATATGGGTTACAATGAAGTTATGGAGTAAACCTGATGATGGAGCAGGAAGACTGTCGTGGCATTTCTTAGACAATTTGGAGTAATTATGTCGTGCTTGGACTTCATTTTTTAGGTTTAGACGGCACGGTTGGCGCGGTGGCTGGGCGACTGGCTGCCGCGCAACGTGTCGCGGGTTCGATTCCCGCACGGAACAACTCTTTGTGTGATCCACAAATTGTTGTTGTCTGAGTGTGATGTGCATGTGAAATTGTATTTTATGAAAATGTAATTCACGCTCATAAAAACAAAAGCTTATTTAAGAAGCATAGTGATATACATAATATTAACACGAGGGGGAAAAACAAATATGTTGTCCCTGCCTCCAGGCTTCAGAAAATAACTAGTTCGTTTAGATGTCAATGTATACGCTTTTACAATAAAATTCCTAGCGATATTCAAAATTTGAGCCTCAATAAATTTAAAAGTGTAATAAAGGCTAAACTTTGCTGTAAAGCATTTTATAAAATAAAAGACTACTTAGAGGATAGTCAGGCATGGGAATGAGCCGCTGTAATGTCTGCACAGGTCATGTTGACATGTTTGTAACATAAGTTACACTTTTATATACAATTTGACATTACGTTTATTTTTTATACAATGACATAATCACCTATTGTGCCATTTTATTTTTTATTTGACATTTTTTTTTATTTATTTATTGACATTTTTATTATTTTATATTATTGTTAGTGTAAGGACCGTGTGAGACTTGCCGTGCTTTTTGATTACCAGTTATCTGCGTTCTGACAGTTTGAGTACTTGCGCGACCCACCCAAATGTTCTTTAGATCGGTATTGTTCGTCGGACAACTCAGCAGCACTAGCTATACTGGTTGCAAACTGACACTTGCGTGCCTGTCTTCAGAACGGGTCCACTTAAACTGGTGTGGTTCTTTCCTCAAAAGACCACTACAGAATGAACTTGCACGATTCTCTCACATTGTGTTATTTTTACATTGTCTGGACTTGAAAAGAGACTGACCTCTGAGTTTGTTTCGGCATTTCTTCTCAGAGTAGTCAGATAGGAAATGCCGGCTTCATCTAGTTTTTCACATATAAATTGACGTGTAAAAGTGCCGTTTTATGGCCTATTTGCAAAAATAAATTCATTGTTTCATTGTTTCATTGTATGTTTGTAAACGCACCCACGACACAGGAGAAAATCCTAGAGTGGGATAATGTTATTAAAATAAAAATTGATGAGAACTTTGCACCTATATGGATTATGTAAGTATATTATAGGTCTGCAGTATACATGATGATGAAGACCATTGACAGTCGAGGGAATTCCTCAACGATTACAACTAAACCAACTGAACACTGACTTTTTTTTATGTAATAGATCGGCAAACTAGCAGACGGATTACCTGATGGTAAGCAATGAGCGCCGCCCATGGACACCCGCAACGGAGGAGTTACGAGTGCGTTGCTGACCTTTTAGGGATTAAGGATTTGGAGATTTAGGAACCGGGGAGGGATTAGGAAGGGGAAGGATTGGGCTTCCGGTAACCTCACTCACACGGCTAAACACAACACTGGTTGTTTCACGCCGGTTTTCTGTGAGGCCGTGGTATCACTCCGGTCGAGCCGACCCATTCGCGCCAAAGCATGGCTCTCCCACACTTCCATGGCTCTCCCACACTTAAAACGGACTAACTCAGGACTACTAGTATCACCGTGATTTTCGGTCTCAAGTAGCCGTCGTCGTCTCATTCGAAAACTATTATACTTGCTTGCTCTGCCTACTACACTTAAAATGGTGAAATAAATAATTTTTAACAAAAATATTCCGACTTCAAAAAGTGAACTAAAAAGCAAAAAATAAATGTTCTTTGTAGAAATTAATATATGTTTTGATTTAGTTAAATAGAAAATAATATTAATAACCGTTTTATAATCTTGAAGTCGGTGCCAAGTGAATCAATAAACAACAACAGTATTAGAAAAATATATTGCTCGGTACCTCCTAATCATCAAACTAACAATAGGTATTCTTGTTGTGTACAGGTAATCTTTACACTATTTTTGTTTTACTTGGCGTCGAATGGTATTGAGGCTCCGGTAAGTATTGCTTCACGTCGGTTTTTTGTGAGGCCTAGGCATCACTCCGGTCGAGCACGCTAGAACTTAAATACAGATATGCTGCTCAAACCATAAGCCCATTATGGTTATTCAAAAAACGCAACGCTAGCGCTTCTATAGGAAATCCAGGAGATAATTGTATTTTTTTTAAAGTATAACAATATATTCCAACTCTGCGATTTGATAAAATAAACTTAGTTTTATATCATCAATCCAAACCCAGTTCAAGTTTGTAGAGTACCTAGTTTTTTGCGAACTGCTAAATTAAGAGCTGCTTGTTATAACAGCTCTAGAGAAAATTAAGCAGGAGAAGAGTTCAATAGAGAACAGAGGAACTCCTAACATCACGCCTCAATACATTCTGAGTACAAAAAAAAGATTATTGTCACATTGAACTAAACACATTCTACTCGCAAGATATCCAAGCGCCAGTAGATATGTATTATTCCGAAGAACTCAACATTTTCAAAATGGTTCGATTGTACAGTGAAGGGTGCAGTTTTCAAATAAAATATACACAAAATGCCAATACGAAACAATATTTAATTACTCAATAATATATTTAATATTTTTTTAAACTCAAGTATGTATGTGGAACGTGCCTTTTGTATGAACAAGCTGATGAAATAGAAAAGCTTCTTTGGAAGAAAATATCGACAGCATTTAGTACGAAAGACTACAGTACGTATTATAAAAGAAATAGACAAAATATAAGAAACTACAATAGCAATCAGAAGTGGGAATATTGCATCACGAAAGAAAATACTCAGTTTATAATTTGACTGACTCAATGCTTTGGATAGATCTGGACATTGCTACGCATGGATCCTTCCTCTACCTAAATGAAAGGCTGTTGTAATAGTGAGCTACAGGAGCTACTTACTAAAGTTCACAAATATGCAAAGACAACGAGGTGACAACTTCTTATAATTTTGTTTGGAGGTTGCGCAGTTCACTGTCCAAACCTTTAGCTATGTGTTTGCACTTAACCTAAGTATATGCCATGCTTATAAAGGAACTGTTATCCACCGTTTTCCTAAAACAGGTCACAGCTATAATGAATGGCAAAATAACTGGTTACATTAATATAAGAAATAGAATAAATTGATTTTTATAATATTTAAAGTCTGGTTTAAAATCGTACTACCAAAGGTCTCAAACTCTAATCACAATATAGTTCAGTTTAAGTATTGTCATTTCAACTTTATTTTTAAGTAATTAGGGCTTGGAACGTAAGGTTTCCAATTTAGAAACCAAGTTAGACTATATCACTGACTACGCTGAACTGTCTGTATTATTGAAACTTATAAAATGTGGAGAGGGCAGGGATAGTCCGGTAGTGAGCTATCACGGGATGCGTGTGTTGTATGAAACATCCTGCCACATTACGTTGTACTTGGATCGGTCTGTCATCGCTGGCAAAATGATTCTATGATTCCTTTAGAATTAAAGTCGTTCAATAGAACGACAGATAGATCGGAACTCTCAAGCAGAAGTAGATTAATTAAAGCTGACGTGGTTTTGAAGCTCTTGCTAAGCTTTACAATATTCAAGTCGCTGGGCTGGTGGCAGCGGCGGGCAGGCGGGCCGGCGGTGGTGGCGGCGCTGGCGGCCGGGGTCAGGCGTGTCGCGACGTCTTCGTTGCGTAAGCAGGCAGCGGGCGCGGGGCGCGGGACGGGGCGGGGGCGCGCCGCGGCGGCCGCGCTGGCCGGACTCGCGCGCTATCAACGGCCGCGCGCACGCGCACCTCGCTCTCGCGCGCTCGCTAGCGCCGCTGTCCGCGGTGATGCTGTGCCACGCTCTGACTGCGCCCCACACGCTCTGAGAGCTGTGATTGTGCGCCCTGCACCTGCCCCCGGACTGACTCCACTATGGCCACCACAAAGAACGAGTATCACTTTGGTGAGTCTCTCCGATCAGTTTAGTTAGCGCCCGAAGTATTTTCACTCCATGCGAGGTACCTACTTGGTACCTACGTTGGAAATTCACAAATAATCTCCATGTTCGGGATCGATGCAGTCTAATCGATACATAAAGTTAATATTTGCAACATCCTGTATGTAAATTACAAATAATGCTAAGGACCACAATATAGTCGGTGTAAGTGATGTGATACATTATTTTACAATAAGTAGGCTCTCGATCAGCGTGGCCCTCACTTGTGAAGCAAATCGTTTCGGTTCAGACACCCGGGTTGCTAAGTTATCTGGCCCCCGATGCGTAGACCCCGTTGTATGCCGTCACCTGTCACCGTTTGACAGCAGTCCTACATGACTAAAACCACAAATACGTACCTACACACGACAAAAATGTAATTAATAGTGACTGTCATTCAACGTGCCTATCTCAGGCCCATTCGGCACGAAGTCTTTAACAGATTTAATTCAATTTATGCAATTACATTAAATTAAATGCAATATGATAAATTAAATGGTCGTGGTGGCCCGGAGGTTAAAGTGCCCGCTTCTCATGCATGAGGGTGCGGGTTCGAAACCTGGTAAGTACCAATGTGACTTTTCTGAGTTATATGTACTTTCTATGATTATTTAGACACCACTGACATACGGTGAAGGTAAACATAGTGAGGAAACCTAGAATTATAATTTCTAAATTTAAGTTTGAAATCGCCAACCCGCATTGAGCAAGCATGGTGATTAATGCTCAAACCTTCTCCGTGTGAGAAGAGGAGTGTATCTCATGCTTCTCATCTTCCGTTGTCTTCCGTTGCGTTATCTAATTATAATTGTAACATCATTTTGCTCTAGCATATTTTTGGAATAAAACCCTTGACATGTCGCAGATTACTCCACACCACTATAACATATTATTTATGATGTAATATTTAATCTACAAACTATGTTTCTGAATCACACCTACCTTTATTCATATAAATCGTAAGACCGTACCCAGACCCGGAGCTACTCTCCCCCTCCCTGTAGCCAGGGAACCTGTGCCAGTACTGATAAAAAGCCTAGCTACCCCCATTCGGATGCGCTCAGCGATGCGGCATTTACTTTATAGCAGTTTTTGCCTCCAGCCAGGGCAGTAGGCACCGCAGGAAATTGCTCGGAAATTGACCAGTAATACCACGGCCTCACAGAGTACCAGCGTGAAACTGCACTTTGACTACACGATTGGTGCGTTGGCTGGGCAACTGGCTGCTGCACAACGTGTCGCGGGTTCGATTCCCGCACAAGCAACACTTTGTGTGATCCACAAATTGTTGTTTTGGGTCTGGGTGAGATGTGTATGTGAAATTCAGTGTTTGTCTGATATTCAGTGTTGTCTGTGACACATGACACAGGAGAAAATCCTAGTGCTAGGCAAGGTTTTCAACGTTTTCATTGAGATGCGCAGTGTGAGTGTTGTTAGTAAAGGCGCAACCTTCCCCTTCGGCAGCAACTAATCTACCTAATCTACTGTGTACGTTAACTAGGTAAAGGCAGCAGACGCCTGCGCCGGCGCATAATGACCCGACGCGACACTCGGTCACCTAGCTTAGAATAACGACTTAAATTTATTTTCCACTTAGGATCGAAACCATAAACTGATGTTGAATGGATGAAACATTAATAACATAGTAAAAAGATGGACGAGAGAAGCCAACACCGAGACGTATGACAGAAGGAACCCAAACTCACACTTGTAAGGTCATCTTCGGCTGTCTAACGATAGCGTGGTGGGAAGATATATAAGCAGATCTGTTTGTTTGCTTGGTCGTCGGTCGGGCCTTCGATTTTTATAGAACACAGCAAGAGCTTTATACTTCGTACATTCCTAATAGTTATATTTTACAGTAGTTGCGTAGTTTTGGACTACAGAATATGAAAAAGCAAGCAAACTCCTTAACTTATTATATGTAGAAGTCGGTGACAGATGCGACCTAATCAAATTACACATGCAAGTAAATATAGTATAGTTTATGCGCCACCTTATCATGAAATCGCAATTCTTTGTTTAGATCTAGCCTAGGTTCATGACGTAGGTACTAAGTTGAACGCGCGAGCGCCGCTGTACTAAAACCGTTGCATGCGCTCCGTGCGGCGACAGGCCGTTTTGTACCTTGCTGCGCAGGCACAGGGTCGTAGTCGCCGTGCGCCCCCCGCGAACTTCCTACCATTAAGCACGCGCTGTTCCTTATCGCTGAACATTCGAACACCATTTTTATATGGCGTGCACCAGTTGGAGTTCACGAAGCTGGCTCGGTCGTTCGCCGCGAAGGCCGGTGGCGAGCCCTGGGCGGAGGCAAGGAGCGGGTCGCAGACAGGCGGGAGTCGCAGCAGTTTATCTTGCAGCGATTAGATAGAGGCGGGCAACGCGCGCGCCGGCAGTAGGCCCGCACGCGGCACGCGCGCTGCCCGCCGCCGCTTCCTTGTTATTGTAAGCGAGTGTTGACCGCGCCGTCGCCGCTGCCTCCGTCGCCGCGGTGCCTTACTCCAGCTGCTATGATTATTTCACTGCGATTAAGGTAATTTCCAAGCAAATACCGCCGATCAATTAGGCCATATCGGATGAATAAAATATTAATGATTTCTATAAACACTTCCGGAGCAATGTGTGGTGCGCGAGGTGAGAGGTGGTACATGCGCACTGTGCTTCCGTTACTCAGCGATAACGTGTACGCACATTCGCATTGAACCGTGTCGTGAGCGTGTAGTATGGCGGCGGCGCCCCGCGAGTTACTGCAGGCGCGCGTTATACTTCTATTGCTTGTGACACGACACTAAAATGTCCAGCGGCTTGTGATCTTTGTTTGACAAAAACCAAATTATGAAAGTTGTCGACGGGAAGGTGGAACTGTACAGCATTATAACATCAAGGTACAGGCACCTGCCATGCTGCTATCCTAGTATATATGCAAACACCACAAGCGCGCGATACTATGCGGAGAATCTGAAACTGTCACTAACTCACCGACAGTGTTGACCAGCCAGATGAGATATTTATGTTCAAATTTCAGATTTTTCCGTAAACCCTTCTTTACCAAACACAAATCCAGAGCATTCATTGCAAGTAAACTACAGGCAAAATCCATCAATGAAGATAGCAGCTAGTTCTTAAATATAGATTTGTACGTAACAACGGATGGGCAACGCCGTTCTAACCTTTATAAATAAAGTTACCTATTTAGATTTTCCCATACAAACTCAATTCATTCTCAAGATCCAAAACTCACAAGACTTATTAAGATATACTTACCTAAGACATGTCAGGCACTCACAAACAGGCTTGCATTGCTGCATTGGATAAAAGTTAAATACAACGAGTCGCAGTAAAACGGTGCGGCGGCTTACTAACTCGGATTTTATGAGTGTACGTCCTAACAAAATAACATACGGAACCTTGACGGGAACATTGCAGTACAATTGGTCCACCAAGTTAAAGTGGGTCACAGAGAGTATGGATACACTCTGAGAGCAATCCGATTTCATATAGAAGTAACTAAGTAGCTCTAAATCTCAACAGCGGCAAACCGCTGCTGCGCGCTACGAGTGCGGCTGCAGTATTTCATCGCAACTTAGTTGTGGCTCGCCTATACACGGTATACGTGGGTCTCGCCTGCGCAACGTTTTGTATGAAAATGTAGTTTATGGGCTTTCATATTACCTATGCGTAGCTTATAAAGTCCGGTCCTCCGGAGGGTACCCGCACTGCCTGTAGGTCGCTGAGCCGCCTCAAACTGCTGGACCAATTGCAGGGCGAATGGACGCGTCCAGTTGTTGTTAGAAAGCAGACGTTAAATACACATCATGTGTTGACGCTAATTAGCGATTTGATCATATTACACTCTTTATGAGCAGGTTTTGTGTCAGTCGATATCAACTAACTGTATTTTTGCAACTTATCGTCAGCTTGGTTGGTTTTGTTGGGTCATCATTCCATGGGAAGTCGCTGTTCGTTGTAACATCTAGGTCGCTGATGTCGGTTCCCGGTCTGCCGTGCCGTGTAACAGTCGGACAGTAAACCAATCACCAAATGAAAATCTATACATACATCTATACTAATAAGAAAAAAACGCTAGATGGCGCTATAGTCATCAACAATTAAAGTATGCAAGCTCCGTTTTATTTTGTTCAAAAAAATAGTTAATGCAGTTAAATTACATAGTGTTATACATTAATCGCTTCATTGCAACCCAATAATTCAGTGTGAATGTTATCTCGTGAAATTCTTAAGTACTTTAAAAAAAAAATAGTGTTATAAAAAATGAACATCTTTCAAATCGAAAAGTGATAAAGTGACAAATTACAGTGAAAAACTAAAACAAAAGCAAAGACAATAGTGTATATACAAAGTGGCACAAGGTTTGATAAGAAAATAAACAATATATTTAAAAAAGTGAAAAAAAAAAAATTCAAAATAACGACTATTTAATTTTTAAACACGTATATTTTGAAGTAGTCCTTAATTTCAACTCATTAGTTAAGAACTCTGTTAGACGAGTGGCTAAGCGCAGAGACTAGCAAACATATGTCGTAAGATCGTATCCCGGCTACGGTCGTAACATTTTTTGTGCATTACATTTATTCAATAACTAAAGAACAATGGAATTTGAAAACGTGACACTACGATCTAAACCAAAGTCACAATGTCACGATTTATCCAATCTTTCTACAAATAATTCACTATTTGAAACAACATTACAAAGTTTGCCTTATACCTCAATAGATGGCACCAACAGTTGCTGTGAAATACTCAACGACAGAATAACTGAATTGGATGTTAAACTACTGACTGCAAATAATAAAATTGATAACTTAATTGAAGAAAACGGGAACTTAAAGACTGAATTAAAAAAGTGTTACGACATGATAAGGAAGCAGGAACAACAACCGCTAAAAAATAAACGAACAAATGACGAGGATTACGACGAGGAAAGTACACTAAATATAAATAAGTCC